GGTGCCGCTCCAGTGGCAGGAGGCAGAGGCTGATGGCCTTGGTCAGAACTCAGAGAGCCCCAGACCCAAAAGGCACTCTGAGAACAAGGGTGAGGACAGGCTTCCTTCACTGCCCCCTGGACATCCAGGGCGAGGGAAGCAGCCTGGAGGGCCAGGCGGGCTGTTGAGCACGCGGCATCTCCCTGAGGCAGCTGCCTCAGTGCCCCCAGCCTGCCCCCCTGCCTCGCTCCACTGGCAGCCCATCTGGGGGCTCAGACTCCAGGGTGGAGGCCAAGGGGCCGGTCCTACCTGGCAGGCGGGCAGCAGTCAGGGGATTGGACAGGGCCATGCCGATCTCCGTCATGCCGTACCGCTCCAGCAGGGTGTGACCCGTGATGTCCCTCCACCTCTCCAGCACCGGGACGGGCAGCGCGGCTGAGCCCGAGACCATTAGTCTGCGTGACATGAGAGGGCTCAGCTTCTTCCAGGCAGGAGCTAGGGGTGACGTGCAAGGAGGTACCACCACAGAAACCACCTCCACCTGGGCGGGGCCCCTCACCCACTTAGGCCGGAGCCTGTGGCCTCACCCCAAGGGTCAGCCAGGTGGGGCCAGGGCAGCAGTTAAACATCTTTACAAGACAATGCTGAGTAAGCTCGTGCTCAGAGACACAGTTTGGAACCTGCACTTCAGGGAGTGGAGAGGGAGCCCCTGCCCATGGTTCAGTTGGCAGTTGCCGCCCTTCAGGGGCAGGGACCTGAAATGGGCACACACTGAGACCAGAAGAGCTAGGCGGTGCCCGACACCCCCACCAACTGCCTTGCGAGGGACCTGTGAGGGTCTAGGGTAGTGAGAGGAAAATGTGTAACAGCGCTCAAAATCCTAAAAAATACCTGGCTTACTGGTCAGGCAGAGACGGGTGACACCCCTAAAACTAGGGCACTGACCCCCCTGCAAGTCTGGGACTGGACTCAGCCCGGGGCTGTTCCAGCCAAACCACAGCTCGCTCGCTCGCTCGCTGGCTCACTCAGGAGTGCAGTCCTGAGAGCCCAGGTGGCGTTTCCCGACAGGTGGCAGGAGGTGGGGTAGGGAATGTGGGTGGTGCTGCCCGGGAGCCCTGCAGCAGCAGAGGCACGGGGTCAGAGCGTGTGAGACGGTGGATGGAGACCAGTCTGCTCTGTAACCCTTCGCCTCAAAGAGGTAAAAGACAAGCCAGCCAAGGATGAGCGGAGGAGCTGGAGTGGGAGGGGCTGTGGGAGGAGCTGGAGTGGGAGGGGCTGTGGGAGGAGCTGGAGTGGGAGGGGCTGTGGCCGCAGCTGACACTTTTCTGGGACAGGATCCACACGGCCTGCGATGACTGAGGACGCAGAGACAGTGTGTGGGGGCCAGGGTCACAGCAGACGGATGGCCTTCAGTTCTACCACAACTCCAGGGTCAGCGTAGGCTCACCGAATGCTGCCCAGGCACATGGCCCGCACGTACTCCTGCACGTGGGGCGACGTGAAGAGCTTGTCGTAATAGTCCACCAGCTTCGAGTAGACCGTGGGCACTGCCATGAACACGTTGACCCGTGGAGACTCCGAACTCAGGAACTTTTCCCAAACCTGACAGGAACGAAGGGCGCCGGCAGTCAGGCCGACAGGCCCTGCGCACCTCCCAGGACCAGCCACGGTGCTCTTGGACTGCCGCAGGCCTCTTCTGTGACCTGGCCGGCATTCCACAGGCACCCTCTTGGCCCGGGCCCAGGGAGCTGACCTGCATGGAAGCAGGCCCTGCCCGGGCTGTCCAGTGACCCTGTGAACAAACAAGAGGAAAGGGCCCGTCCCGGGTCTCCACTCCAGAGACACATCCAGCCACGCAGACAGGAGTGGGCTCGGACTCCGGGAAGCTGGTGGTGGCCTGAGGGCTGTCCCTGAGGCCCGTCCGACAGGCACTGAGGAGGTGGGCAGGGGTATTCCATTTCACCTGACTCCCTTGGAATTGTGGGAACCCAGTCCTAATCCAACAGTGTGTCTGCCTCTCACCACCCTCACTTCTCACAGTCACCTGAGAGTCCTTGGGACACAGGGTCCTGAGCTGGGGGACTCCAGAGGACTGTATGAGGGCCAGAGAGACACACAGTATGTGCCCAGACAGCAGGTGGCACAGAGGGAGCAGGGCCCGGGAAGTAGGTGGCGGGGTGGGGGTACAAGGGGAGTCCCGGACCACATGAGTCCAGGTGAGGTGGCTACGTGACGGTGATGGTCCAGTTTCCTGGGACCAGCACCTCCCATGGTGTCAGGCCCCTTCCCAGTGAGCAGGGCTGAGACAGTCGTCCTGTCCAGTCACAGGAATGGCCAGCCCACCAAACTTCACTTGGCACCCCTGGGCCTCTCCCACTGCTCACCTGCTGGGCGCTGAATTCGGGCAGCATCACACAGACGGCCCCAACCCAGAGCGGGCAGAGCAGCTTGTTGACCACACCATGGACGTGGTGCAGCGGGAGCACATGCAGAATGACATCGTCTTGTGTCCATGCCCACGTGTCCACGAGCCCCGTCACCTGCAGGACAGCATGGGGGCCGGTGAGACAGGCCCATGGCTGGGGGAGGGTGGAGCCACTCCGGCGCTTCTCAGACAAAGGGAGTAACATGGTGTCTCAGCCTGGGCAACTGTCCGGAGCTCAGTGGACTCGCTTGTGGCCACATCAGCCAAGGCTGTGGGTGTCGACTGTGCACCTTCGTCCTCGTGGCCTGGGTGTGGCTTGTGGTATCTGAGCCCTGCTGTGTGGACAGACTGGCAGGGTTATGGGAACAGTCGCCAGGCCACAGAATTCAACAGTGTCCTCCACATGCCAGCGCAGCCCTGCTCTGGGGAGCCAAGCTCTGCATGCCTGTGGTGGCACTGGTAGCTACAGAGGAGATGCTCGTTGGGGGTCCATCTGGGCACCAAGGTGTCACTGCACGCCTGCCGGTGATCCAGTGAGCAGAGGCAGCTCCAGCAGCCAGCCTGCACTGGCCCTGGGCCCCCGAGCATCGCTGGTGCGGTGCGAGTGCACTCACCATGGCACTGAGGTTGGCGTGGGTGCTCAGGACACCCTTGGGCCAGCCAGTGGTCCCGCTCGTGTAGATGATCATGGCAGCCCGCTGCTTCCAGCTCCACTCCTTCCACGGGGGTGCAGGTGCCTCTGCTTCCGCTGGGGCTGCCGTGGCCCCACCACAGACCTCGGGGGTCAGCGGCAACAGGGGGACGTCCAGCCTGCCAGCCACGGGGCCCAGGAGCTCCAGATGCTCGGGGCTGACCAGCACCATGGAGCTGCGGGAGTCCCGGATGAAGTACTCAAGCTGGGCGGCAGGGTGCCTGCTGTGCAGTGGGACGGCCACACCGCCACTCATCCACGAGGCCCACTGTGCCACCACGTAGGAGGCATCGTTGGAGCATAGGAAGGAGACACGCTCCTCGCCCAGGTCGCCACTGGCGCACGCCCGCAGCCTGCAGATCTCCTGGGATAGGCGCAGGCTCCGGCAGTATAGCTCCTGGTACGTGTGGCGGCCGTGCCGGTCCACTAGGGCCATCTTGTCCCCGAAGGCTGGGGCGCGGGTGAACACGGGTGCACAGCTGTCAGAGGGGGCGGCCGGGGCTGTGTGCAGGAGGCCCTGTCCTCCGAGCCTCAGGAGGGCCGACCAGCTGGAGAACCAAGCCTGGGGTAGGCGCCGGAGTGGGTGCATCCTGACGAGGCTTCAGGAGGTGCTGAAACAGAGGCGGGCGTTAGGGACAGTGGTGTGCCCAGCACCTGGGGGCACGGACATGGGGACAGAAGTGCTACCGCTTAGGTTAACAGGTCACACCAGGGTGGGGGGGGTGTCTCTTGGTCCCAATCAATGGCATGGACATAGCTGGCCTGTCACCAGCCTGAAGGGCCTACGGGTACAGGTGACCCCTTACAGGTTTGTCTCCAGGGTCAGGTGTCCCGTGAGCCCTCTGCAAGGTAATAAACAGGGGTCACCAGGAGCAATACAACTTTTGGGGTCACCCACTGTCTTGGTCCCAAGACCCTGGCCTGCCCATCCCGCTGTGTAACCTTTGGAAAGGATAACTTTTTTTTTTTTGGAAAGGATAACTTTTTACTTGGCATCCACTCGAGAGAGCCCCCAAGCCCTGTTTAGGGATGGGTGGGAGGGGCGCTTCTGAGGGCAACCCCCCCTTCCTCCACCTCATTCCCTCACATAAAAGCTGTACACTCCACCCCCTATCCTGGGAGGCCAAGGATCCTGCAGGAGTCATCTGGCAAGGTCTCGGCATGCCAGTGGGGGGCAGGAGAGCCTCGGCCTTAAGGCCACACAGCTCCCACCTCCTGCCCCGCCTCCCACGCCCTCTATGTGTCCACTGTGATGCACGTGTGTGCACACACAGGCAGATTAACTCACCGCAAGGGGAGGTGGATGCTACTGTGGGTCAGCTCAGGGCACTAAACAGCTTTGTTCTCCCATCTCCATTTTAAAACCGGTGTATACAACACATCCCTAACAAACGAACACTCCACACGGACAAGCTGCCAGCACTCGGTGGTGCTGGGTGTGCAGGGCGCTGCCTGGGGGGGGGCACATAGACCCCCCCCCCTGGGTGAGCATAGAGGCCCCCTCACACCTTCATCTCTGACATCTGCCCACCAGGCTCCTCAGAGGGGGGTTGCTCAGTCGACAGACAGGGTCTGTGGTGGGTCCCCTGCAGTGGGCAGCGCACAAGGGCCATGCCCCCCCTGCCCCCCCTTCGCTTGGTGCTCCCTCCTCCCGCTTCTCACAAGTTCTCCGCATCTGCTCTGCAGGCAGGGGTGGGGGGTTAAAAACAAGAGGCAGAGCATGCAGGCTCTGGCCTCGGGGCGGGGGTGGGGGGTGGACAGTAGGAGCTGTGTTCTGCAGGGTGCTGAGGAGTGAGGCGCTCCCTAGGGGCGGGTGGGAGATGCAAAGCTCCAAACTCAGCCCCCAAAGTGGCTACCCCCTCCCAACTACTCTGGTGCCCTCAGGCAGGAGGGAGACGCCTTCTAAACAGGGAGCCCCGGAAAACAGGACCACCAAGGGCTGCCAGACCTTGGCCATCTCCCACCAACGCGCCTGAGCCGGCGCGGCACCACTGCCCTTTCTACTGGACAAGGTGGCCACTGCGGCCCAGCGATCTCACAGCCACGGAGGGACAGCACCCACTCGCACCAGGCTGCTGCCCTTTGGCCTCGCACTGCACGGCGGGCTTCTGAGAGCGGGC